ATTTTTGCAAGAATTTATTGATCTCACTTAATCGCTTATTTATGACCCCTTAATATTTTAACTTTTGTTAGCCATTTAAGTGTTCACTTTCATTCTCACCTCACAGGCCAATGATATCCGTTTGAAAACAAAAACCATAATTTCCCACTTTTCACAGCATTCCACATGCATTTGCATTCCATTCTGTCAGTCGAAGCCGTAAAATGCGGAAAATTGTGCTAAATGCTATGCGAAAATGCAGAAATTACCAGCAAGGTGAGTGTTGCTGGTGATGGTGATGATGGTAGAGCTGAGTAGTACCGAAAAGTAGGTGCTCGACAAAATAAATTTTAATAAACAGAGCGCATACATCAAACGACAGACAAACGCACACACGTGCACAGGCTGCCACACACACTTGTGCACGTAATTGGCGGCAAAACAATTAGTAGCATTTTACAGTTTACAGTTGCTGCACATACCATATAACCCTCTAAAATATTTTGCACAAAACTGCACACGAACTACACTAAGGGAAAACTTAAATTTGAAAAATCCAACTGAAAATCCAATGAAAACATTCCCAAAATTATGCATTTCCCATCTCAAAACAGTAATTTCTCTCACTGCATGAGCGGCAAATGCTGCAACAAAAGCTGACGAGCTGACTAAGTGGCGAATGTGATGAGCTTTTGGCCAGGAGCACAGACAGCCAGACAGCCAGAGAGACAGAGAGACAGACTGTCTGAGCTGAAGAAGAAGTGAGGGCAACAGTTGGCAGGTAAGCTGGTAAAAGCCCGAAAAGCGTTGAAACTTTTGACACACTTGGCAATTGAAATGCATTTGGAGTAGAAAAAAGGCCACCCACTTTCCGTAATAAATTACGGTAATTTAGGGGAAGCAAGCGAGCGAGAGATACATAGACATTAGCATACGTGCACATATTGTTAAAGAGAGCAAAATGAGTCAAAGGAAGCAGGCAATATGTGTGTCGCAATTTCCGTTTGAAGTGCACTTCCTGCCAGCTTGCAAATGTCATGCAAAACTATTACTCGCAAAGACACTTAAAAGAAAATATGTTACAGTTGAGGAAGTTACAAATAGAGACTGTCTTCGGAGATACTCTTCAGAGAATGCAACTCAAATTACAAATTTGTAAAATAATACAATTTTCAAGGCATTTATCTTAATGAAAATCTTAATTAATGTGCAAGCTAGGTATTTTTTCTTACTGCATGAAGTTACAGCTGCTCGTCAAGGTTGACTCGTTGATTGCCTGCAGAAGTTTTCTTAGAGGGAAGCTCAACTCTGTCTTAATGGAAAAGTCCCAGCGAGTAGGGCCTGCATATGTGGCCCACTTAGACCGAAGACTGATTAAAGCCAGCTTTATTTCGTAGCTTTAGAAAATCGATATAAATATTCTGTCATAAGCCATGGCAGAAAAATGTATATATAAATTTCAGAGTTTCCGCTTAATTTCGTGTGCTGGCATCCGTTCTCGGATTCAATTTTGTGGGGAAGTTGCAACAGCTGCTTGCAGTTGAAGAAAATCAAATTGAATAAAAAAGTTTCTCTCTCTCTCTCTCTCTCTTTCTCTGTCTCTCTGTCGCTCAGTGGCCAAGTGGCCCCTGCGGGCGGAAGTGCCAAGAGTCGGACCACATGGCGAATACTTGATATTTCGCAAAAGCGAGATGACAGGCAGCAACTGGCCACTTGAAGTGCAACTGTTGCACATCAAACAGACATCAAAATGTGCAAACATGATGGAGAGACATCCAAGTGGACACGCCGGGAATGGCAAAAGAAAGATACTAGAGACTAGATACAGATTGCAACTGCGGCTGCAGTTGTTGAGTTCCTCTTGTTTTTTTTTTTCCAAAGAACTTTGAAAAGGTTAGCGGACTCTCTTCAGCATCTCTGTATTGGTCTCCGGTATCTGTGTGAGACCACGACATTTCAGTACACAAACAGACCTCCAGCTCCAGTTCATATCCTGTGCAGAATGTCACATCTCATTTGAAGGCGTCTCGATGCGGCCGAGATTTGCCATGGTTAACAACTTGATCGGAACTTGGGGTCCTCTTCATGACAATGGACGAAAGTGGGTCATTGAAATTGATCAGCAGTCCTGGCACTATTTGCTCGCTTAACAAGCATATTTCCCTTCTCCGCCTATGGCTTCATTGCACCTTCAGACGAAGCCAATCTCATTTCCATTAAATTGGCTCGCCTTGCGCCGTGAATCTGCTCCGAATGCGAAAACATAATGAAAATAATTCGCCAAGGAAAGTAATAAAGTGTCAGCCTTGAAGGGAGACAAGCAAGCACATGTGCACTGAGGAAAATATTTTAAGAAAAGGTTTTATCAGAAATGTTTTACACTTTCTTACGGTTTTCTTAACTCGAACTTTTTGGTTTAAGCCAAAGCATTTTCCTGCTCAAAGCTAAGGAATACCAAATCTGCTTTTCTTCTATTTCGATTGATTTCTCTCTGTGTATATACTATATGCATGTGAACCTGCTTCTCCTGTATGTCCGCTTGTATATGTTGGTGTCTCAATGGCGCTTTATAGTGATGTCGTTGGTCGTCGTATTTGTTTAGCCTGGCATTTTATTTTTACTGTTTATAAGCTGACAAAATTGTTTTTCCCTTCTCTCCCAGCGCACAGCTCAGAGGCTGCACATTAAATGATCCGACCGGGCTCGTCCCTCGTCCGTCGAGGGTCGTGTGCCATAAACGGGCCAATGCTGCGGCTACGTAATAAAACGAGAGGGCCACAAACAATAATTGGCCATGGTTTGTTTGGGATGAGGGAATTTTTCATGGCCTTGTCTTGTCACTGAGGCGAAATTAGTTGCCAGTTGCGTTAGATAGAGAGAGAGAGAGAAAGAGAGAGTATAGCCGAAGGCAAGTGAAATTCACTTTTTTTTCCATTTCCATTTCCCTACTGCTTTTTCAACCGGTTTTTCCCAGGAACCTTTGATGCGATTCCATGCAGTTGAGTGCAAAACGCTGGCCACCGATGATTCCATTTCCCCGCGGCCAGAATGGCTATGCGTGGTCGCATTCTTCACTGATTAAATTTGAAGTTATGCACTCGCTTCTCGTGTCCGCATCGCTGACTTTTCCCAAAAAGAATCCTGAATGGAAATCTAAATGCGGCAAAAAGGCATTCCATATCTATGTCAGTAAGCCATTGTTTTCAATTTCAATTCCCCCAGCATTGTTTTCGGGTTTTGGGTTTCGACTTTTTCCCTGGGATAAGCTATTTTCAACTTTCCGTTCCTCTGCCTGAAATATAAATCTGAAAAATGTGTGTCTGGCCCATGAAAATACATCCCTCCCCATAATATGCCATCCACGTATATACTATCCTTACTCTTTTTTCTTTTATAATGCCATAAACTTAATTAGTGCCGAGCCGAATGAGCAATCAGATGATCCTGGCCATCCCGCCGGTTTAATTAACATGTCAAAATGCCGTAGACGTAAGGTGAGCCTTTCGGTTCATCGCCTGTTTTTCATGCCGCATTCTTAACGTGGCGAAGAGAAGAAAAAAGAAAAAGATGCCGGTGAATGGGAAAAGCCCCGCCAGTTGGCAATACAATTTGCCGTGACAAATGCGGCCATAAACAAAAATGGCGACAACGATGCCGCCAATCCGCCATTTCAGCCATTTTCTAGTGCAACGCCGACAAAATGGCTGCCACAAGAGTCTGGATGAAAATTTCATTTCCCAGCCACCAGCAGCCGCACCAGTATCAGCAGTGATGGCGGCGACCTTTTACGGTATTTATCACACGCGAAACGAAACGGGTTCGTTCGTCTGCCAGGCAACTTTCAACTTGCAGCTTCCACGCGCTCGTTTTCGTTTTTGGTAATGAAATTTCGCTTTAGCAATTACGGGCATCCCCGGGCTATGGCAGCGATAACTGGGGAATCTAGCTGGAATGGGGGTTTTGGGGCAAGCTTAGCCGGCTAATAGCTTTTGAGGCTGGATGGCTGAGTGGATGACTGGCTGACTGGATGGATGCATAAATTATGATGGGACCCCCTTTTTGCAGAAATCAATTTCAGGCTTCGGCAGCAAAACAAAGCGGCACGATGCTGAGGCAACTTATATAAAAAAAAAAGAGAGAGAGAGAGGGAAAAATGCAAGAAAGCCGAGGAAAACAAAAACACAATTTATAAAAATATTTTCATGCCTTGCAGCTAAAATGTTATTAAAGTCAATAACATAAAGCCGGGGACAATTCCTTCTACGGCGCCCCCTGCCGGGCGGGGGTGAAACTTTGTCAAATAAAAATAGCTTACAAATAAAAACAACTCGGGGCGAGAAAAAAAACTGAAAATCATTGCAGAGAAGCTAGGGCGAGAGCGAGGCAAACAACTGACCAAGGCAATGTAATAAAAATAAATAATGGCTTTGACAAAAAATAAACGATGGCTGCGAGAAAGTTTGAATATTTATGAGTTTTTTATGTGCCAAGCCAAGGAGGTATGCCAAAAAGAAAGCCAGCCTCTGAGAGAGAGATATGGAGTGAAAGCGATAACTTCTTTAGGATAGGCGATTAAAAAATGATATAGTCATAAATGGGAAACTACAATTATTAAAAGCTGTGTTTATAATGCGGAAATCGATTGACTACTCTTCTTATTTGACAGCTTTTCAGTTGAAGCTATCGATAACATTACTATAACAATATCGATTAGAGGCAATGATGCTTATTATACCATATAATAATATACTAAAAGATTTTAGTGTTTATGATCTATAAAAATATTAAGTTGTAATTTAAAAATTCTTTTTTTTTAGCTATTTAAACCATAAATCAAAAACACCCATCAAATATGCTTAAAATAAAATTCTGAAAACGCTTTTTAAGTACCAAATTAATTTTTACATCCTTCTTTAGTTCTAAGGACTGGCAATAAAAAAAACCAAACCAAAAAACCATAATTTTATGGCGATAAATCCATAACCTCTGAAAAAAAAGTTGGCTTAGCAATTCCAATCGCTTCAAAACTGTAAACTGTAGTGCGCCTTCAGTTTTTAGCTTCAAAACCAAAAATCATTTCACAGCACTGGTAATTGTCATTTTCCTAGAAATAAATCCTGAAATATTTTTCTTAATAATCAGCAAATTTTACTGCTAAAAAAAAGTGTAAGCTAATTCGAAATGGAAGCCAATTTTAGGACACTTGACCAAACCATGACAGTCGAAGCCATAGCTTCCATCAAGACCAAGCGCATGGCCAATAAGCTGCGACTCGATGTCGAGGGTAAGCAGAATAGAAAGCTCCAGCGGAAGCAGTTTGGTAAGGAGCAGGAGAAACAGGCGGAGATTTGCAGGATGGCCATGAAACGCGAACGCCAGCATCGCACTCGTGATGAGCAACTCTTGAGCCAGAAGGAGGTACCAGGAATACTGGAATGCGTGAGCCTCTTTTACGATATCCATAAACTACGCATGGTAAAGAAGGATTCAACTCCCAAAGTGGAAAATGTTCCACCGACTTCTGGATTGCTTAAGGAAGTGCCGGTAGTGCCGCCCCAGTTGGAAACATTGATGCCGCCACCAAAATGCATCAAATACAACCGGTACCGTCAGGAGAAATTCCTTAAGGGCCAGCAGGAGTTTGGCATCAATCCACAGGGCAGCCATATGGAGCCCGAGAAGCCCTCATATTCGGGCTCGAAATCAAAAGGCAAGGTGACTAAGAAGCTCATGCCCGCTCCCACTACTGACTTTACCAAGATGGCCAACAAGGTGAAACGCCACGTTAAGACTTACTCTCGGATGCCCATCATTGTGGTTCCAGACGCAAAGACCAGCCTGGTCAACATGAGCAATGTCAAGCAGCTGCTGCAGGAGATGCGCTACGTGCCCGTGGAGCAAGCCCGTCGTCAGGCATTAACTGATGGTCAACATGCCGACGATATTATTATCGAGCACCGCTTTCAGGTGGGTAAAAAAGTTATATATTAACCAGGATTATTCGTTTTCTACCTAAAAGTCAATATTAAGTTACTGGTTTAAGCCATCTTTTACAAAAACTCTTAAAATATCCTGAAGATCAATATCATAATTTTGATTAATAGACTGATAAGTTGTTATTTGTTAGTTCCTTTAAGGCAACCAGGAAGGTATAAACCATTTTTGCCTGTATTTTACCTACTAAAATGGCTTAAAATTAACATTTTTAAGACTTTAAATAAACATAAACTAGAAAATATGGCTAAAACTCTAATAAACTTATGCTTGCACCGTGGCTTAATTACAATTTTGTTATGCAAATTTCAGGGGCAACTGGTGAAGTACCGGGTCATCGACAACATAGTCCGTCTAACCGCCGAGGAGTGGGCCCGGGTGGCCGCCGTTTTCGCCATGGGACCCCATTGGCAATTCAAGGGTTGGCCAATGGGCGGCGATCCCGCCCGCATCTTCCACGAGGTGTGCGCCTTTCATTTATATTTCAAGAATTCGCCGGTTTGCAAGGAGTTGCGCAACTTGCAGGTGAACCTGCTAGCCTTATCGCCAAATGAACGCCACATGGATTGTGGCATCCTGACAGAGTTCTGGAACAAACTGGACCGCCACATGGCCGTTCGTATCCGTCAGTTTGCGTTCATCAAGTAGAAGTAGGGTGCTTACTTTCCCCTTGGGCCACATATAAATAGATGGAGATAAGCTGGGAAATCAATAAATGAAATTGAATAAGCCAGAACAAAGGACGAAGGACGAAGACCCACACTCACACAGGCACACTAACTTACATGCACACATGGGGCGGATCTGGTATAATAAAAAGCGAACGGGCGCATCAGAAAAATATATCACGTTTGTATAAAAATCATATAAAAACGTTGCGAAAACTGCAAACTTGGCAAGAAAATTAAGAGCACAAACAAGTCGGAAAATGAGGAAAATGGGGGGGTAAAGCGGGAAAACTTGGCACGCGTGAGACAAAAGCTAAATGACACACAAAGGAGCAGTTGTGTGCGTGTTTTCGGGGGTAGGAGGTGTACTTATGTAAGTCACTGTGCGTCCCACAAAACGTAAAGCTGTCAACGGCGTTCAGAGTGATGGCGAAAACAGAAAATGGGATGGCTATGAAGGTTGGAGCAGGGGGATCCACTAAGATGAACAGTCGGCGCTATAAAAATCACTGGGAAAAAATGGCAATCTCTATAAGCTAGCAGCCGACACCATGTGTGTGTGTATTTAAATAAAATGCGTGCCAAGGCATTTGCATGCGATGGTGGTGTGAGGTGGGATATGAGGCAATTGGCAGGCGATAAAAGCTACTGAAAGGAATGCACTAAGCGTGCGTACAGTGGAGCCTAGAGAAATCTCTTGTAGAAATCAGAAATGTTATCATTCAGTCAGTTATAAAGGTTTTTATATTATAAAATTGTTACTATTATTAGTAGGGAAGCCATCTTGAGGAAGATCTCTTTATTAACTGCATACTTTTGGGCTTTCCTTTAAGTGAGGTGTAGCCATACATGGAAGTGCACTGTTCCAGGGTTTTTTTTGCATTTGTTGGCCCTAATCTAATTGAGAGTTTTATTTTATCAAAACTATATCCCTTAAACTGTTTAGCCTTGGCCCACTGTCTATCATTTACTGGGTAAGTAGCTTCAAATACCCGCCTCCCCCCCTTGATAATTTACCAACTTACGCAACCTACTCGAGAAAGCGGTAGGTCCTTGCCAATCGTCCTTCCTCGTTGGGCGTGGTCGTGTGTGGACAAATCGAGTTTCGTTGCCAATATTCAATTTTATAAATTGAAGCAAAGTGAAAGCGAAGAAAAAAATTGCGGCAAAGAAATTGAATTCGTGCTAGCAAAATGTATAAAACTTACGTACGGGAAAAGTGAGCTTGCCACATGAGCTTGTCGCCAGGTTGATTCAAGCGATAACAGTTTGGATTACATCACGAGATTTGCCCGTTTTGGCAATTAAGAAAATCCTTTAAGTTAAGAACGCGCATTTATTTATCCACATCCCTTAGCGAAGTGGGTGTAAAACTAATGCAAGGACAATAAATTCCCGAAATGGCTTGGCCATAAATCCACGAAATTTGCATTCGGAGAACCCACACAAAATGTGTCGACGCTTGGGTACAAGCTGGATTCAATTGCAATTGCCATTCGACAAAGCCACCAAGTCTTTTCCCAGCGAATTGGACATAATTTAGCCTCCGTTGACAGTCGCTTTACTTTGCATCCCAACTTGATATATCTGTCCCTTCTGCTGGTTTTATTTCTCAGGATTAAGCTCTTATTTTTTTGCAGCTCATAGTATATAAGCGGAAGCCAATATTAATGAATTTGACCACTTAAACAAGATTGTTGGAAGGGACTCTGCTCGCTGAAAAAGCTGAAAATTGAATCGATATCATCTGCTGGCATTACAGTTGGCTTAAAACTGATTACACACTGACTCGTACAAGTTTATGCCCAAGTGCCAGAGAACACCTACACATGTATTACGTGTATATATAGTTATATATATGTATAGATACATATATAAATTCTCCTACTTACCGAAGGACAAAGTTTTTACTTCACACCCAAACGAGAGATTCAAGAGAGCTGAGAACCGAGAAGCACTTTGAGCCCCCATAAATCCCTCGGTTGCTGCGAAAAAGAACAACAACCACAACTGCTAAACTATGGCGAAAGTTTGCAGTTCAAATCAGTAAAAAGTCAACTTTAGCATTAAAAGAATCTGAAAGAAAGAGCGGGACAGAAGAAAGCTCTAGAAGCGAGCGCGTTAACAATATGGCAGGCAGTGGAAGCCAAGTGGAAAAATCAACGAAAACAACAAGGCAATGGCAATGGCAATCCCACTGCCATACAATCACATGTGGATGTCCGCATGGCGATGACAGTGGGAAATGCGCAGCGATGACAAGGACCTTGTCCGCCATCTTGTTTTGCCCAGTTTTGCCTTTGTATTGGCCATTGCCTTTCAATTGACAGCCGGCGTTGGATGCATTTCCTCTTCCGCTGCAGTTTGTTTTTTGTTTGTTTTGCTTAAGAGAACAATGTATAGGGTTAACGTGGAGTCAGGGGAAATTTAAGAAGTGTGATTACTCTACATAGATTAAATAATATTCTAGATATTTTTCAGAATGATCAAATATATATATGACCCGACCGAAACTGAACCTAAACCTTAAACCAACTAAAAAAGTATGTTATTGTAAAGATTTTTTTACTTTGCCAGCTTAAAATCTTTAAAAAACATTCTAAATTCTAAAATAACATAAAAATATTTTCAGCATTTACTTAAATTTTAATCATATTACTGTAGATTTTTAACATTTTAAGACTCTTTAAAGGGTATTCACTGAAATTGACCTCAAAGCGTAATGGCTTTACTTTGTTTGGTGTAAATATTGTCGGAAAACCTCTCGTTAGGGCTGTGAAATTAAAAATGCATTTATTTTCCTATCATTTAATGAAATGCAATATGACTGCAAGAATATTATGGCAAGGAATATCATATTATCCGGGGAAAAGGTAAAAGGTAAAAGCTGGTTAATTGCAGGAAATATTATGGTAAAACTGGCGCACGCCTTTCCAAGTGGCTGAAGCCAAAGCACGTTGCCTTTATTTACATTGCATGTGGCAGGTTTGGTGGAAAACTGTTGCACTCTTAGTACCAGGGCAAACATTTATCCGCCCGGGAAATCCGATTTCCATGGGTTAAACGTAGCTGCTCAACGGGCGGCGGTCAGCGTTTGCCTTCATTCGGTTCGCCCAACTTTTCAACTTCTGCCAATCAAACAAGTTCAATAACGGTAATTAACAGTCAAACGCAAATGCAGTTGCCGTTGCAGTGGCTATTGCTATTGCTATTGCCATTGCAGTTGCAAAAAGGCGGTGGGCGGGTATGGGCGTGGGTGAACTGCCTGCAATTTGCGAAAAGTTCAAAGCTATTAGCATGTCGATGCGATGCCTCAACCTGAACGGATGTCGATGTCGTACTCGCTGCCGTACCGTTTTCCGACGACCAAAGTTTTTCCCCCCCCTCTCTTAACTCTCCGCTTTCCAGCCTAATGGTGGAACTGCCCCGCCGTCAGTTAAAGGCTATTAGAGAATGCTTCTGGAATGGTAGCTATGGGGGGCATGAAGGAGGAGGAATGGAAGTTTTGCCATTTGGCATCGGCACGCCGGCATTGTCCCACTGTACGGCTTTCTGGACCACTCGGCATGCCAGTTTTGATTGAACCTGATGGACCCGCTAACTCTCTAATCAGATTTAATTGTGAATGATGTATAGGGCCACTCACAGCGAAAGACGCCTCTAATGGGTATTAATGAAAGGGGTTAATGGGGCTGGGTAAATGGGTGGAAAGTGCGTCAAAGGCCTATAAAAAGAGCTGATATTTAAAGAGGACAAATTGGAAAACCTGTGTATGACATGGAAACTTTTAGAGTGGGAATGTCAGCTTGCTAACATTACTTTAATGCAGAATCCCTTACTCATTTTTGATTAATAGTAGCCAACATTAATTTCCTTCGAACTTATCTGAGAAATACCCACGATGTGTGTACTTTAAGCTTCGAATATGAACCCTCCTTAGTGCTCATCCATCTCGTTTTCATATAATGCACTTACCCTGGCTTTTCCTCATGTTTGGTCTAATAAACAGATAGTTGGCAATTGGCTGCTACTGGCTGTTGTTGCCAATGTGCCAGCGGATCTATCAATTTGTAACATTTTTCAGGCTCCCACACCCATGAACGGCATTCGTATTCACTTACGACTTTGAGGAGGCAAGAAAAAGAAAAAGAGGAGAAGACCATGAATCCGGCAACCTGATGGAGGGAATCCGACTGACTGAGGCAAAAGGGATGAAATGTGGAGCATGGTCTGGGGCATCGCCTTGCATCTCTTTGGATTTTTTCAGCTTTTTTTTTTTTGTGCTACTCCTCCTTTGAAGCTGCAGCTCCAACAGCCACTTTGGCCACAGAACTTGAACATGAGTGCAATCAAATGTATTACATTTTGTGCAACTTAAGCGTCGGCTGAAGTGCCGAAGACAGCTGGCGAAGAGAGTGCGGACAGGGGATATGGACCCATATATATGTCGATGGAAAACGGGGACCAGGGCAGGGTAGGGCAGGGCAGCAAGGCAACTGGGATATATCCGCCTTTGGGTGCAATGATTTCCTGAAAAACTTGAGTCAAGGCTGAGCCTGGATGAAAAACTAAGCAGATGAGGTGGGCGGCAACCGGGTGAAAATAGCAGGAATAGTGCATATACAGTGGCGCCGTAAAGTATGCAACATGCGCCATAAAAATGGGCCAAACAAGGAAATTGCTAGAAATGCATTTTGTGGCTTATGAGCCGTGAAGGGAAAGCGACCGGAGCAGGGAGAAAGGAATGAAAAAACGTAGGAAAAGAGAGAGAGAGAGAGAGAGGTTGGAAAATCAATCGAGTTTGTTCGACAAATATCCGCTCAAATGGAAATTGACAGGAAAACCCCAAAGACAGAGATATGTTGCTGGTAGGTTGTTAGGTAGAAAGCGGAGAAAGTGCAGGGCAATTAGATGTCATCGCAGTTAAGCGATTTTTAACCATGACAAATTCACAATGTTTGCTCAATTGGCCATAATGCCCTGATTGATGACAAGCTCAAATAGGCAAAGTGGGTGGACATGATATGATTATCGAACAATTTCCACTGCATTCTGTTTGCCAACTAATCAATGGAAAAGTCGGAAAAATGGTGTGGGCCATGCATCCATCCATTTCCTTTCGCAATTCTTTTCCTTTAGACTCAATCGGCTGTCATTGTCCTTGGCGTTTGTCAAACAAAGCAAAAACTTGCTAAATTCTCCGCTCAAACAGTTCAAGCATGAAAAAATTTTGCCATAGAGCGAGCACAGAGAAGGAAAAGCCAGTGGGTGGTGGGTAGTGGTTGGTGGAATACGTGTGGGTGGAAAGGGTGGCTTTGAAAGTAAAGTAAAGCAAAGAACTTTATACCTAAAAGGGATTTATTTGATGACTTGTCTAACTCGTGCCCTTCACTCTTCACACGACTCGGCCATGCCACGCCCCTACCCTACCCCAGACAGACCCCGGCATGACGTAGCACTTTTACAAATGAAGTTTTATAACTTTGCCTCCGTCTGATTTGTCAAAGAGCGAAAGAGACACGGCGCCCAAAAGTGAAAGGCGACAAAATGGAATGAAATTAAATGCATTTTGAAAAATGATAAAGTTCTTCTGCCGAACAAGGAAAAGGTTTTTCCCTTTGGTCTGCTGTCCAACTCCAAGCCAAGTCACACAAATCAGAGGAAACAGACAATGACTTAAGGTATTTAATTTACTCACAGCTTCCAAGAGGAAAAAGGGGTTGAACTTACCTGAAAGGAAAGTGAGGAAAAGGTTGCA